GGCCCACGGCACCGCACTCACCTCTCCGCAGCCGCCCCACAGTGTGGGAGAAGCCGTAGTACTGGTACGTGTCGTTCTTGCCCGGGTCCTCGCTGATGATGCCCAGATTCTGGTTCCAGTGGGACCAGTTCACCTCGTCCACCCTGCGGGGAAGGTCAGACCTGGAGGGGCTGCGTGGAGCCACTGGGAGCCAGGGCAGCAGCTCCGGCATCCCCTCACCATCTCACCACTGGCAATGCCACCCGGTTCCAGATTACTGCAAACTACCCAGCAAACGAACACACGGTACCAGCACCCCAAAATGCTGCTCGCTGCAGCAGGAGGGGCTCGGCTGGTCCCACTCCCCCCCTCCCCCGGGACCCTTTACCGAAAGCACCAGCGGCGGTCGGGCGTCCCGTCGGTGCCCTTCCCCACGGTGACCATCTCCCCTGAGCGGAAGGCTCTCCGCAGGAACACAGGGAAGGAGCGTTCAATGTCCAGGATGGTGGTGGCCCACTGTCGGGGACACCAGGGACCCCTCAGCCGCTTGGAGATGGAGGCATGGGTGTCCCTTGCCCAGGTGGTGCTGCTTTGATGGAGCTTGGGGTGCTGCAGCCCCCCAGGCACAGGACGCCCCTTGAGGCACCTCCACCGGGGCGGTACCTGCAGCTTCCAGATGTGTTTGCTCTCCTTGGAGACTTGGCCCACGGTCTCACCCATGAGAGCAATGAGCATGTTGAGGAGGAGCACGAAGGTGAGGATGATGTAGGTGACGAGGAGGATGATGAAGACGCCAGGGTACTTGGCGCTCTCGAGCATCTCCAGGTCGCCCATGCCGATGGTGAGCTTGAAGAGGTCGAGCAGGAAGGTGCTGAAGGTCTGGCTGTCCCGGCAGGAGGGGTAGGTGGGCACCGTGCAGTTGGACTGCTCCTCGCCGCAGGACTCGCTGCTGGGACACGGGTTGAGGAGGGACACCAGGGCTGGGGGAGAACGGACAGGGACAGCGAGCGGCAGAGGTGGGGTCCACAACAGGCCCCCACCTGGCTCCACGCCGGCAGAGCCCCTCTCACCACAGGAGGAGGCAAAGGCTGAGCCCACAGGCACGTAGGATGGAGCAGGGGCTCCGCAGCCCCCTGCCCGGCCGTGCCATGCCGTGCCGCAGGGCTCGTCCTTCCCCCGAGCCCCGGCTCACCGGCCCGGCACCTACCTGACGCGTAGCCAATCATGAAGAGCAAGTAGACCAGGAGGAAGCGGAAAAGGTCTTTGAAAAGGATCTGCAAGCGATGGAGAGGGGACTGATATGTGCTGGACTGCGGCGCAGTGCCAGGGCACCGTCGCCAAGCCATGCCGTGGGGACAGCCGGGCTGAGAGCCACAAGGAAGCCTAAAGAAAGCATGGAGGATGCTCCTTTTGGGCCGCGCTTCCCTAGGAGGGCCAGCCCTACTGGGGAAGGAGAATATCCCCCGACCCCACCGGACCTTCTGGATCATGATGCTGTAGGTCCCCGTCAGCTTGAGCCCCCGGGTGAAGTACAGTGCGTTCATCCAGCCCAGGACCAGCGCAAAGACCATGACAGCCAGGTACGCCTCGATGCCGCCCAGGTACAGCCCCGCCGTGACGATCACCAGCACCGAGTAGATGAAGCTGGAGGAGAGCCGGGGTCAGATCCTGCACCAACAGCCACCAACAGCTACCGCCCCTTGCACGCCCAGGGGTGCTGTGGGTCAGCCCTTGCAAGCCCAGGGGTGCTGTGGGTCAGGGAGGCTCCGGGAGTTCCCCACGTACTAGAGAAGCTGGAAGGAGCCGTCGATGAAGAAGGAGTTCACGCCTGGGCACTTCTTCATGAACAGATCCTTGATCTGGGGGAGAGGGAGAAAGGTTGGGGGGGTCAGGGAGCAAAGCCCTGCAGGAACAGTGTCCGGGGGGCATCGTGGCAGGGGCTGATGCCTCAGGACACGGGGCTGTCACCCTCGAGTCGCCCACGAGGGCTGGGCCGTCCCGGGGGAGCACCCCCCGCCTCGCCGCACTGACGTTTGTGAAGAAGAAGAGGATGCCGGTGAGAAGGGTGATGATCTCCCCGGCCAGGCGCAGGTAGTCGACGGTGGTGGTGTACGGGTAGGGGGGCTGCGGGGAAAGGACAGAGCTGAGCTGAGCTGCTCCACCATCCCGGGGCAGGCAGGGCTGCTCGGGACAGAGATGCGGCAAACCCCCCTG